TACATGGTTTCTACTTTTTTTTTTTTTTTTCATGTGATACCAGATACTGTTCACACATACCATTCACACGGTTGCTCTCAATTTTTGTTGTTTTTCTTTGGAGTCAAACCATTTTACAAATCTTAATATTGATTCAGGGAGAGGGCAGTTCAGAGAGAGGGCAGTTCAGAGAGAGTTGGAATTGGTTACCAATTTATTACTGCAAGGCAGCTGCAAGCACAAGCAAGACAGATGCAGCAAGCAAGGGAAATGGTGAAGAAGAATAATGAAGAAGCTTCACTTGGAGGTGTTTAAGGTTGATGAACAAATCCAGCAACAAGAGTCTTCTTTTAAGTTCTGGCCAAATTTCCTTTGAGATGCTGTGTTGATGAAGTTAATTTTGCATTTTCTTGTTTGTTTTTGACTAAGGAAGCATGGTTCTGTTCTGTTATTGACCAATTAAACATGGTTCTGTTTTGTTATTGGCCAAGTAAACATGGTTCTGTTTTTTCTAATGCTACTGTATTAGTCTTGGATCTTATTAATATCTATTATTTAGGTTGATGATACCATGGTTCTGTTCTGTTAGTCTTGGTTCTGTTCTGTTATTGAATGGCCATGTAGAATTTTGCTAGACCATTGCAAGAAAATGACAAGTTAACCAACAAAGTGAACAAATTTTTATAGATAAAATAACAAAAATACATATATTCCAGCCAGTAAAAACCATCTCTTACATTGAATTACAAAAACCACAACCGAAGACCCACATGCCTCATATCTGGTGATTCTAAGTAGCAATACACCAGAAATCAAACCAATGAAAATAAAAAAAACCAAACATATCACTTCACTGATCATCACAGCTTTTGAGTATCTCTTCTCCAGCTTCTTCACTTTCTTCTCCAAAACACGTACCTTTCTATCCATTAATCCACTGTGTTTCTTCAATTGTAGATTTTCTTGCAACAATTTCCCATTTTCAGTCAACAATTTCCCATTTTCCTCCATCAATCTTCCATTTTCCAACAAAAGCTCATCTTGTTCTTGCATTATTTTCTCTTTCTCTTTAACAACTTTGCATTCTTTATCTTTCAAAACCAGCAGCAACTCCATCGCTCTACCCTCGATTTTTTCCTCACTAGCTAGGAAATGGAAGTAATTGCAAGGATTCTACATAAAAATCTTATTAAATAATCAATTGAGAAAAACCTAAACCACTGACAAAAAAGACAGAGAAATTGTATAATTACCTTCTTCTTAGGACAACATCTAAACCTCTTACCCATGCTTTGGAAAGTAAAGGAAGTCCGAATAACAGCATTTAACCCACTGTTGCATCTATTATCTTCACTTCTGAACTCTGTACATTCTGCAAAGCTTCCACTCTCAAATGAACTTGAACCCGAACCCAAACTCCATGCAGAACCAGCTTCCGTTTTATGATTCTCACAAACCCAAAATCTAAAAGACAAATAGTAGAGGATTAGGGTGCAAGGGAAGAAGAAGGAATAAAAAATGCAGATGATTTCGAGTTCGAGTTTGAAGGAGAAGGAATCACAAGACAAGGTGTAGGGGATTTAAGGTTCGAAGAAGAAGAAGGAATCAAGATTTACAAAGGATTTAGGGGTCGACGAAGAAGGAATCAAGGGTTCCGAGAAGAAGGAATCAAGAGTGGTTCTAGAGGATTTATGGGTCGAAGAAGAAGGAATCAAGTTTGATCTGCAAGCATCATCGATTGCAGGAAGCAAGCTTTCTCGATTTCTGGAAACTGAGCAATTGGAAACATGGAAGTAAATACCGAAATGGTTGTCGGTTATTGCCAGAAGATTTAGGGGGTTTCGAAGAACAAATGATCTAGGGCTTAAAGGGGAAAAGGAAACAGAGAGTACAGTGAAGAATCTGGAAGAGGAAAGGGAGTTTGCATCGATAAAAGCAGACAATGACATGTTTGCCCACTATTTTGTTTTATTTAGAAAGGCTGGAGGGACAAAAAAATCAAACGTGGAATAAAAATTGGTGCTATATCATCAATAGGCTGAGTTGGTTTTTCCACGTAGGCATGAAAAAAATTAAAAGTGGTAATTGTTGGACACTTCAGGTGCCAGGTATGCAGCCTGTCAACGGAAGGACCATTTGGGTTCCAAAAAAATGAAGTTAAAGGACCACTTGGTGCTTTTTGAAGTTAAATGACGAACTAAGTTCTGAAATGAAAGTTTAGGGACCAAATTGGGTATTAAACCAAAACTTAATGCACTATAGTTGAGTTGAGTGCATTTATGTTGGCCGGTAATATAGAGAGGACTTCGAGTTTCTCAAAATTACGTAACTGGCAATGTATGGTTTCTCGCTCTCTGGGTCTTGGCAGACATCACCGCACCACTGACCCGCTGGCTTCTGTAGCCTTGGATTTTATATTATGGAATAATTTTCCTTTTTTTTTTCAACTAGCACAGTTAAAAGGCTTGGGTTTGTAATTGCCAAAACTTAAATTTTTAAATATTATCAGGTTCTTTTAAAGGAGTTATAACAATTAAATAACAATAGTAGTTGGTGATATTATAGTATAATGAATTGTACATTAGGAGAGAGAGAATAGCTAATTGTCTTTTCAAGGTAAGATTATTGTCATATTTTAAATAATAAATATTATATTTTTTTAATATAATTACTTATTATATTTTTATATTATATTTTTTTCAAAAATTTTATATTTTATATTTTTTTAATAAATTAAAAAATATAATAATTAATTCACATAAAAAAACATAACATTAATAATTGATTGTATGACAATAACATCACTTATTTTTTCAATCCTCTCTTCACTTATATTAAACTTGAATTTGAAAGTTTTAACATAAAATTTTTAACTTTTAACATGTCTCAAAAAAAAAAAAAAAAAGAGAGAGGATGTATATATTAGTCATATATTTTACAACCATTAGGAGTATAAAAACTGAAAACTACAATATTTCGAGACATTATTGGGAAGGTATAAGCCCCCCGCAAAAATATTAAAAATTCTCTTTAGGTTTAACTATAAAATAACAAATTACAGTATATATGTTAATTATTAGGTAAAAAGGATAAACCTAAACTTATTTATCACTTATAACATAATTGATTACCTAAACTCATAATTTTTTCTCTCAATTCAAAAAATAACTTGACTGTTCTAACACCTTTTTCTTTAGTTAAGATGTTCTTTTACAATTACTTTTTTTGTTTTAACATATGATGACAATGGATTATATAAAAAAATAATTTTTTTTTCTTAAATTTCTTCCTATTAAACTCAAATTTAAAATTTAAAATCTTTAATTTAAAATTTCAAAATCTTAACTATTTAATCATTCTTGGATGGTTTTTTCTTTTGTAATTACTAATTATTGTAATTGTTAATTGTTTTTGACTTTAGACTTGTAATTATTGATTTTTTGACTTTTAATATTCTTAGTGATAATTGATAATTGATTATATTTTTTGATTTCTAATTTATTTGGGGAAGAGGCTATGAGTGGTGCGGTTGCTGTCTGGAAAAGGGAGGGCGTAGGGGGCAGGTGAAAAAGCTAAAGGCTGCTTCTTGACGAGCTAAGCCAGGTAGGGAGGTAGCAAGGGAGCGGCTATGTGGGGGAGGAAGCTTGGTCTTGTGCGGGAATACCACTAGTTCAGGCCGGGGTAGCACGCTGAGGAAAGAGGGTTTGGTAGAGGCGCAAGGAGTGGAGGACACTGGCATTTGCAGCATGGGATAAGGAGGTTGGCAAAGGAAGAGTGAATGATAACGGGCATAAGCCACCCCCTAAGAGGCAAAGAGCAATATTATAAGTTGCTTTTGTTGTATATGAGCAAGGCAAAGATGTTAAAAATAGAAGAAATTGAAATTATGGGCAAGGCCAAGGAATTTCCAAGAAGCTATTTAAAGGATAATCGATTTTCAATATATAATGCAGGTGGCTTCACAGAACTGGTACAACGCCCAACACGAGAATTTTAAGGTTGCAATCATCAAAATTCTTTAAAAAAAAACCCAAAAGTTGAGAAGAAGAGGATTGTAACTGTTTGTTGTATGGATTGGTGTATACCAAGGTGTCACCCAAAGCTTTGTGAGAAGGCCTATATAGGGCCTTCTACGAGAGACGGAAGCATTATAGCAGTGTTTTAAGAACCGGACCGGACCGGTCGGTTGAACCGTCAACCGGTGGACAAAACGGGTTGGGTGGACACCCAGGCCCGTTTAGACGGTTGGATCGTCCAAACCCGGAAGAACCGTTCGACCCGTCCAACCCGATAGACCCGGTGAACCGGCCGGGCGAATTCTTCTACGGTGACTGGACGCTGCAAGCCTACTGCAACTTCGTTTTCATTTTTTTTTTCACGATTTCCCACTTTTTCCAACACAAAAGCAAAATCTGATAGTTTTTTCTCCATTCTCTAGTCTCCATCGGTTCTCCACTCTCAAATCCAGTCTCCATTGCTTTTCCAGATCTGATCGTTGTTCTCCATTACTGTTCTGGATTCTTTAGTTTCCAACTTTCCATCACTTTTCCAGCCATATTGACAAAGAAGAAACCACAGGGTAGCACCGTAGCAAATCGGGCAACAGATTGCTTCTCCTTCGCATCTCTAGATCCAACAGCAGATCAGCTTCTCCTTCGCATCTCCAGATCCAACAGCAGATCAGCTTCTCCATCCCATCTCCAGATCGGGAAGCAGAGGGCAGCAGATCAAATCAGCCTTCATCGAAAGACTTGTCTAAAACCACCCATTAAATTAGAGGTTGATAAAAAGGAGCCATGAAAGATCATAATTGGGTTTTTGGTTTTTTTTTTTTAAATCGCTTGATGATGGTTTGTGTTCTGATGAAGTGATGATCAATTGCAATGGAATTAATTGTACAGGGCACTCGCCTCGTGCACTCTCCA